CACATGATTTATTGCAAGAATGGGCTACATGATACCCTTGTAAAAGTATTTTAAACTGTATAAAAAAAATTGAAATCGATTGTGAAAATCCATTCCTTATATAGGACGGTCTCTCCTGTTCATTGCTGGTCATCGGATACTGTTGCAGATCACAAAAACAAACATAAAATCTAATTTTGATTGGGTTTGATGATTATTATATATAAATAAAAAATCATGGCATTAAAAAATTTCAACTTTTGATAATCAAACACAACTTAAAGCCAGCTTGGTATTATGGGTAGGAAAACACAATATTTGTAATAAAATTAATTATTTCATTTAGGGAAAGCAATAAAAACTATTATTTATTATCTTTGTTTATTTGTTGTTTTATTAATATCAAATAATAATAATAATAATAATAATAGTCATGTAACATTCTTTCTGATTGTATAGATCCATTTTTTAATTAATGCAATGTTGTATATACATACTCTTTATTGTTAATAATAGTAGTATTATTATAGTAATATCAACAAGAATATTTGATCTATCACTGGTAAAAAAAATTTTAAATGTTTGTTAAAATGTTAATAATTAAATTTATATAAATTTTTTTTAAATTATATCAAAATATTCTATTTTCTAATATCAATAAAATGAACAATAATTATATTATCCAAAAACCTTATGTCTGCTTATTATGAATCAACTGTTATATTATCTTTCAATAAACTACAAATATAATAATAATAATAATGGAGTTAATAACACAAGCAAATACATATATGGGAAATGCTGCAACAAAACCAGACAAAGTGAACATTGGTGTTACCAAAGATTTCAGGGATCAAAATTTAGTCATTTGTAATGTGATTATAATTCAAAGGTACACCATTTACACCTTTATTAATAATGGTAGAGTAATATTAAATTATTTGTAATGATAATCAATAATTGATGTTAATGTCTCAATTTGCATATTGTGAATACACAAAGCAATTGAGAATGAAATTGTGATTCTTATCTGTATGTGGTATAACTACAACCAAAAATATGTTTTTTTATAACATTCATCCAGAAAATATAAAAAAATTTTACATGTGTCAATTGTAAGTTTAATAATAAAAAAGTGTAAAACTTACGTCGGCACTGTAAGATTTACACAATATTACGTCGGCATCGTAAGATTTATGCAAGTTTACGCTAAATTAATTTCCTGATGTTGTAAATGCTTATATAATTTCATTCCATCAAGAATTACTTAAACAAAACAGTGCTAACAGCCTTAGACATTGGAAAGAAAATAGCAAATTCTGAGAAAATAAAGTCAATGATATAGAATTTAATTACATCTCTGGTGAAAAAAGTAATAATATATTTGGATCAATTGAAAAATCACATGGTGAACCATTGAATATTAAGAACCAAACCAGAAACACACTAGTGATGGCAATGAACGAAAAGGAAGAAAGAGTAAGTTTATGAAAACAATAATGACAAAAATGACATTGTTATGATAAAAAATCTCATGGAAAACATGCCAATAAGGATAATAATTGTAAAAAAAAACAAGTGTTTATTATTTAAGAATTATTGATTTAGATGAATCTACAAAAACAACAGAAATTTAGAAAGTCAAATAGCTCCATTAGAAAAAAGATTGAATTAAATTTAAAAGAGCAAATTGATGATATTGAAAATTAAAAGAGATGAGTTCATGCAGTAATTTTAAATTGAGTACCATAAGATCTGAGCAGTAGATATTGTACCATGGATAAGTATAGCACTTATTACAAGGATGTATTGTACTCATCTATACTTTCTATACTTGTATCTTTAATATAAGTACTGAATGTACTATATTCATTTTAATGTTACTTTATTGTACTTGCTGCAATGATAGTATTGTGCTGAACATGCATATAATCATATTCTTTGTATAAATAAAACAAATCCCAATTATAAAAAAATAATGGGTATTACTTGCAATTTACTTATGAAACTTGGTTGACAGAAGATGAATTGAACACTTTATTCAAGAGAAAAACTGATAATAGATGTGAAATTGAGCAAGATATTAATTGTAATTTATTTTCTTTGAATTATTAACTGGTTGTTTTTATAGTAATAATAATTTTCATTTTTTTCAAATTTAAGAATAAAAATAAGAATTAAATTTGCAAATTGACATAATGAATTATTAACTTACAATTTGTAATGAAATTGTATGTTAAAGTAAACTGATCCCAATAAATTCAGCCAACCGCCCTTGTTTTGTATCCATTCTTCCAGTAGTTGGTAAGCCATAAAAATTCAACAAATTGTTTAAGTTTTGAGCTTTATATTTAAAAAAAACATTATTTGTAAATTATTCAAAAAGGAGAAAGAAGAATGTGCTAGTGTACAAACCGGTTAGTCCTCGTAGTTGAGATATGTTAGAGGGAAAACTTGTTGGAAGTTGGTTCAGTAAGTTGGGAGGCACTTCAATATTTGTAGTTGGATCAGTAATTCTTGAATTTAATGATCTACAAACAGACCGGCTATCCCTAAAATATAAAAAGTTCATTCAATAGTTATTTTAGTAAAAGGGACATAGTATGATTATGGGAAAAAGACTTACAAAGATTGGACATTGGTTTGAATTGCATTTAATTGAGTTGTCATTGTATTAAATTGAGTTGTCATTGTATTAAATTGAGTTGTCATTGTATTGAGGGTATTTTGGATAGCCACAAGCTGATTTGTTATGCTAACAACAGGTATATTTGATACTAAAGACACTTCCTGTGCTAACAGGTTAAGACCTTGAGAAATATTATTATAATTAGGTTGTTGTGCCTAAAACAAATTACAAAGAGAGGTGAGGTGAGACTTGAATCAGAAATTATGTGCATTATTTAATTAAAATTTACCATGATTGATTTTTAAAAAAATAAAAACAATAAAAACGCGTTAATTTGTTACTAAACGTTTATCATTATGTATATATAGAAGTATCAACTATAGCATGATGGAAGTTTGATTTCATTGGCTAAATTTTGTGATGATCTCCCTTCCAGACATCACGCAAAAATTAAATTTTATTGGCTCGATGATCATTGCTGAAACTAGATTTTTCGGGCGAACTCTGAATTTAAAAATATTTTGGTGATACGAAAATTTTATATTTATGATAAGAAAAAGAGTGTTTTAAGACGTTTTAAGGCTACAGATTTATTTAAAGTCAATAATATGTAAGGATTAGGTTTAATTAATTGTTTTTTTGTTTTTTTTTTGTTTTTTTTTGGAAATAAAAATTAATAATTTTGGAATTAAGAAATTTGGATGCTTTAACTGAAACAGTAAGGAAATATATCCAATATATATAATTGATAAAGTTATTATTGTTGTATAAAAATTAATTAGTTGATATATATATATATATATAATTTAGTATAATATTACCTTTTATCTTTCATATTTATCAAGATGGCCGGATCTTTTTTGTTTGCAAGAGTCATCAAATGGGATAATAATGGGATAAGGTTAATAATAAGATTATTAATAGATAATTAGATTTTTTATTTTTATCTTTAAATATTTTTAGATATATATTTTTATTTATTATTATAGTTATGGGCAAAGCAGAAGGAAGAGGTAAAGAATGGCATGGACATGTAATTGCCATTACTGTTGCACCAGAGTATAACGAATAGGATTGGCTGATAGAATGATGCAATTGCTGGAAAATGTTTCAGAAAACGTGTTTGTGGGTTTTTTTTTTATGTAAAAATTTTTTTAAGATATGAGAAAACCATTGAGAAGGGATGTAAACAGAGAAAGCGTAGTTGAAAATGGAGAATTGAATTATGTCAGATCCGAAGATTTATTATAAAATATATATTAATAAAATTTCATGGAAAATTACATGTTAGGCCATCAAATATTTATTTCAAGCATTGCTTTATAACATCCTGTAATACATTACTTCTAACCTCTAACCATATCCAGAGTTTTAACAATGGAGTGATATCAATAAACCATCAATGTTATCATCATTTTGTGTTTTTTAATACCCTCAATCTCTCTTTTACTAGCTTTCTGAGCTCCAATTTTCCATCCGCGAGACGGACGACTTGCCATACGAGGATTAATTTGTGATGCGTGATAAAAGTAGACGGTTGGTACTGTATATCTTTTGGTGTAGTATTCCTTCCTTATAATTTTAATTAGAAGAAAATTAAGTACGTATATTCGCACACCAACTTCACAGAATATATATAGTTTATTCTAAACATATTGTAAATAAAAAAGAGAGCAAGGTGCAATTCAAAACATATTTAAAATAAAAAAGTATTTACTATTATTTATTATTAAATAAAAATTATATATTATTTATATATATATTTATATAATATATACATTAATATTATTTTCTAATCGAGAGTTTAAATAAATATAAATATCCCTCTTTAAGAATTTAATGGATCTGCTGGTTTATTATTTTCATTGCCATTTTTTTGTTGTAAATTATTATTATTATCATTTTCATTATTGGGATTTTCACATTTTAAATGAACAAGATCACTATTTGTTTTACGTAAGAAATCTGATCCACTGATATAATCTTCACATATTGTACATTTTACATTTTGCGTAATGACTATTGGCCCAATTTCTTGATAGGCTTGATATAATTCACATTTTATCTAACAATAAAAAATCAATTATCGATTGATTGATCAGTAAAATCTATCATCACCATCATCATTATAGTAATGTTATTATATTAATAATATTGATATTAATAATACCTTTTCATTTTTACCATGGCAAATGGATTTTAAAATCTGTCCCTCCCTATATTCATGATAATCTTTTCTTATTGATTTAACTAAAAACTCATTAAACATTTCAATTGACCAATATTCAGGTAATAAAGACAAGACCTAAAATTAAAGGGGGTTAATTTTAATATCATGATTTATTTATTACGTTGATGATGATGATTAAAATTTTCATTATTACCTCAATAAGATCTAAATAGATTGCTTGCTTATTTAATAAACTTATTATCCTATCAACCATTTCATTTCTAACAATTTAAAAAATGTTAGATATTAATTATAAGAAATTTCACATAAATTTTAATCGATTTAATAATTACCCATTTTCAAGATAAACATTCAATAACATTAAAAATAAAGATTTTCTCCTAGTTAAAACATTTTTATCCTCTTTAATTATTTTATCAGCTTGTTTTTTTGATGACTTATTAATAATACCAATCATATTACCACCATAAATACAATAAATTTCTGCTCCATTATAATCTCTTAAATCATTTATCAACAAATTTAATGCTTTCTCATGTTCACTCAACTATATTAATAAATAATCATTATTATTATTTTTTTGAAGAAAAATATAATTTTCTATAATAATTAATATTATTCGTATATATATATATATATATAATAAATTACTTTGCCATAAATGATTGCCAATTCCGCTTTCAATATTTTAACTTCTAATAATTTATTTAAAATTTTATCTAAATTATATTGAGTTGAGGTTTGTAAAAACGCTATCAGTTTAACACGTTCTTGTGATATTAAATCTTCTATAGGCTGAGATAATAAAAATGATAAAAATGTCTTTGTCGTATCTTTAGATTGTTGCGAGAACTCATTTACTAGATATTAAATCATTTAAAGTCATTAAATAATAGTTATAATAAACAATATATAATAATAATTCTATCATAAATATATGGATACTTGCATGATCTTTCAAAAGTCATCTTTCCTTCATCTGTTTTTATCGATTTATTAATTTCATCAATGTATAATAATACAAGTTCTGTATGATGTGATTCTTCCTAATAAACATAATTTACAATTATTTACACCATTTTTTCTTTAAAAAACTGTATATATTTTTATATAATGAAGATTTTTTACTACCTTACTTTTACGTTTTGTTACTAAATATTCAAGATACATCTTCAAACCAATACACCCTGCAATCCTTAATTCATTAATGACTTTAACAGGTTCAAATAATAAAGTTTTTTTGTTATCATGTTGGATAAAAATCTAATAATACATATAAACATACATATATTTAAAATTTTTTAAACAGAATATTTACTTAGTATTGTTTAATAATAGTAATAATAATAATAATAATAATAATAACCTTTGCGCCTAGTATTTCATCTTTTTTCATAATCTAGTTTTGTTTTTCTTCGAGGATTCTTTGTCATCTTTGAAGTAATAAAAAAAAATAGATATTTTTTTTCTTAACTTTAATAATTGTTTATATATGTACAGTATATGTATATATTACTTCTTTACCTGCTTATCATTCACACAATATCCATGCTTATTATAATTGTTTTAATTTTGTTATCGTTTGTAGTTTGTTTGCAAACAGAAGTAAAATGAATATAATTGTCATTATATATAATCTTATATCTATATGTGCAACATTGAGTTGTCCCCCATACCCCTAGATATAATCCTAGGATAAATGGCAATGTTCTTTGTTTTAATTTATCTTCTTTCTCGAGATTTTTATCGTCAATATTAAAAAGTAATGTTTGTTGTATATTTGATTTTTTAATAGTTGGTAGAGGAATAGTAAAATTGTATAGCGAGTCTATTATTACACTTTTATCCACATTGTTTACATGTTCTTCGAAATCAAGAAATTTATTAAATCATTACTCTGATAGTTTTATACACTTTAGTAAGTTTACCATTAAAATACATTAAAGCTTTGACTCCTCTTAAATCAATTGCACTCGATTTTTTAATATCATTTGCCACATTACTCAGTCTTGAAATAGTTATTGGTCTATTATTAACACCAGAAGTAAGCTGAGTCTTTAACCCATTATTATTATTAAATTGTAAATTGATATTTTTCTCGTTCCCATTATAACCAGAATTGCTGCAAACATTACCACCATGTAATAAGCTATTTGCTTCGTCAATTAAATCTAATGCTGAAAAATAATCACCCTGTCCTAATAATTCTTGTATCATTGGTTGAATAGATCTGCTCGATGATAACGTGACATTTCCAATAACAAAAAAATAGATATTAATGTATCATTACTTCAAAAGAATGGTACCAAAAAATTGTAGTCATCTGAATTGATAATCGACAGAAAATATGTTGATAGCAAATGAAAAAACAACCACTTGTGAAGTCATTGTAAAATATGCAAAGATCTGATTTATTTGCACTGTTCTAAATTTCGGAACATTCAGGGAAAATTTTTTCAAAGACCTTGCATTGCCACCCACCACTACTAATTAATTACTTCTTTTCCTCTAAAATGTTTCTATTGCTCAAAAAACAATCAAAAATAAAAGTTAGCTACTTCAAAAATTACTGTTCAGTAAGAAGTTTTGAAGCATCCTTGAATTTTAAAACATAAAAAAACCAACCATAATGATTATATATAATAACTATAACTATTCTTATTATTATTAACATTAAAAAAAGAGGGAGAAGATAGAAATAGAAAATAATTAATAAAAAATAAATCTTCATAGATTTTCTTTGTACTTTATTTTTATTCTTTCGAAAAATAATCCTCAATAATTATAATCATCATCTGAAGTATATTAATATTTTTTTAAAGACTATTGTGGAAAAATAAATCAAATATTTTATTTCAATATTTAAACCAAAATTATATAAATAAAAACATAAAAATCTAAGGAACGAAAATTTTATATTTGTGGTTTGTGTTACATCTACTTGTTTATAAAATTCAAAAAATCTTTTTTTCCCAAATAAATGAAAATGAATCCTTCAATTCTTACACAATCTTTCAGAACCTTGGGTGTTAGTATGTTGTTATATGTTTAATAATTTAATTCATTATATATATATATCAATTAAATAAATTGAATTGAATGTCCAATTTAAAATATTTATTATCAGGATCACTACTTAGAAGTTCACTAACAAAGAATTCGGGTGCATTATCTAGTATTATATTAAAGTAAATAAAAAAAAATTCATTCTCTTTTTTTTATCAAATCTATCAATCATACAATCATTTCATTTTTAATTTATATGTGAAGGAATGCACAACAAAAAAGAAATACTACTACCACAAAATCAACTACTATTGAACATGAACAACTTCTTAATGCTCAACGTTCTTTGAGACCATTATCACCACATTTCACTATTTATCAACCGCAATTAACATGGTACATGTCTTTAACTCATAGAGTAACCGGTGCTGGTTTAGGAATTGGTACGCAAATTGAAAGAGAATAAAAATATTGTTTATGATTTTTTCGTGTATGTCAAATAATTAACTTATTTTTTTCAATATTATTATTGTTGTTGTTGTTAGTTTTGTATGGCGGCGCATCAGTTTATGCATTGAATATATTTCAAGATTCTGATACTCTTGTTACAACCATAGCAACTTTACCAACTTCAATCAAATTGGCGGGAAAATTTATTTTGGCTTATCCATTCTCATATCATTTTTTTAATGGAATTAGACATCTGGTATTATATATACGTATATCGTTTTGTTATTATATATTAATTATATTATTAATTTCATAAATTATTATTATTTTTAGATTTGGGATACTGGCTATGCATTGACCATTAAAGGTGTTTATGCTACAGGATGGTCTGTCATTGGACTTTCTACGATTTCAACTGGCTTGCTTTGTTTGCTTTAATTAATAATATATATATATATATATATATATATAAATAAAAGGAGAAAGAGATGAGGAATACAAATTAAATTCATTATTTATTATAATTTTCTTTGGTTAAAATGTATTGTGTTTGACATGTTTTTAAAGTGCTTATTATGTGTTTTACTATTAATAAATATTAATAAAAAATATATGGTGGACCTTCGGATATTCTATATAGTTGGATCGATATTTTTATTGGAAGATGTAACGTCGATCATGTGAAAAAATAAAAAAGATTTTGTAAGCGAATGAATAGAACTAATATTATTTGTGATATTAATATTACCATTATTTAACCGATTCCCATGCCACTTCTATTTGAGGTATTTATATTTAAAGTTAAAAAAATACCATAGATGTTCTATTTGATGGTTAATATATCCAATTATGCAAAGCATAATCCTGGGCACTGTATAATATATTAGTCCGAAATTTAAAGATCTTTCCGATTTAAGTAATCACATTTCTTTTCATTCAAATTCATTTCATAACAATAGTGTGAAATAACAAATAGCGTGATTCTTCAAATAAGATTTTTGTATATCCTTTAAGCCGATCATCTGCCTTTTAGTAAAACACAAGAGAAGATAATTCCGAAATTTATTAATAAAATGAAAAAAAGTAACCGATGGAAATGAAGCTTCTTCTTTTATAGTCATGTGATAATAATTGACCATTATAGACGTCCTGCAATAGAATAATTAATTAATTTATATACATTTCTATTAAAATATTATAGATAAATATTTATTGAAAATGAATAAGATATCAATTTTCCCAATCGATAAAAATGCCATATTTTTTACATCTACCTGTAGTCTTTCTTAAATTATAATATAAACAAATAGTTTTTAATGAGTACAAATTGCTGTATAGAAAAGCGTCTGCCTCAAATAATATTGCTTTACAATTTCTCAATATTAAAAATTAAAGACTTTGCTTCTAATGGGAGTATTGACGACTTCTGGACGGCAATAGTAGAAAAATGGACATAAAACTATCAAAGGAACAAGTAAATAAATATTTGTAAAATAGTGGAGCACCTAATTTCATTTTATTGACTGTGAGCGCAAAATATTATAGAAGCAATTTTCAAAGTAACTTGTCTCTTTCTGGATCACTACTCTGCTAAACTTTTATATCTCCATTATCAATTATTTTTTGTCATCACTCCCACTGTTCCATTACTATTACAGATATTCTCTTCGAACAATTTATTGTTTAGAAACATGACTCAAACACTTTCTTCTTGAATAAAGACAAATTTTTGGGACAAATCTGTGAGTTGTCTTGATTATATATTAATATTAATATGATGAACCCCTGAAATATCACTTTGTCTGGTTTTGTTGGCATATTTAGGATTCATTTAATCGATCAAAATAATCAATTATTAATTAGTATTAGTTAACCAAATAGTCAATTCCATCTCCATATTCCACGTAAATATAAATGCGAAACAAATTATTTTATATAACTCCAATAAAAATTAATACATCTGATTTATCTCAAGTCTTATTTGATCAGAGTTTTTGAAAAAAGACGCTTCTTATAGGTGATTATCAAAGACCTACCCTTATGTTACCATTCACATACGCTTTGATGATGTTTTGAAGTATTTGAGGATGTTCGAAAGTTGAAATATCTAAATCAATAGTTTGAACACCTCCAAAATTGGAAATATGGTCCACCCTTGAATCTCCATAAGTTTTACTCAACCTTTCTAATACATGAAGGCAACTATTGCCACAATTATTAACCTTGAATTTATTTAAGTTCGTGAATGGTGCAACAACAATCAAAACATCCAAAAACTTATCTACATATTCCTCATTTTGCCGAATAAGAGTATTGAAATCAAATGTAATTGTACTGCTTCCAAAGAAAGGTCTTGATTGACTGATTTTGAGAAATTCTTCTAATGAACTTTCTTCGGATTCGGATAGTTTGCTTTCTTCATAGAATTTTTCAACACCCATCGAAATACCCCCACCCATAACAGCTCCAGTTATACCAGATGCAATGGTCCCCTGTTAGATATTATTATAATAATAGGAAAATTTAATGTAAATGATTATAGATTTTTATGAATTTTTCCTCAAAAAGCATACCACAGTACCAAGACCTGCAGCCCCTATGCTTTGTAATATCGCACACACGCTCCCAGACGTGACTGCACCATTATAAAGTGACATAATCCAAGCCGCAAAAGATCCCACTGCAATTCCGCCTATTTTTTTTTTTGATTAGTATAGAATTAAAATTTATTTCTTAGTTATACATAACCTTAGTTCCATCTTATTTTTATAATATCAAAGTATTGCCAATAAACCTGCTTCAAACCCAATGGCACTCACAACTCCCGCAACAATATAAGGTGCCATAAATGCCGCCACGAACGCTGAACCCCCAAACTTTAAAGCAGATTCCCACTTGGACAGATCTTGTGTAAATACATTGTAAAGGGAGATTTTGAAGAGGTCAACATCATTGATAATTTCATTCGTGGTGCCATCATTGGCGATTGTAAGGAATTTATCTTGATAAAAGGAGTAGTAGCTTGCCATTGAGAGAACACAAAATTAACAGGAGGGAACACAAAATTTTAACCCATGCCATTTGTTGATTGACCAATTAAAATCGCGAATTTGATAAACGTAGAAATAAA